CACACACACACACACACACACACACACACACACACACACATGCACACACACACACGTTAGGCAAAGATTGTGCTGCTGAGTTATGAAAAAATACAGTCTTCTCACAAACACACACTGCGCACCTACGCAGACATTAAACACACAGAGCCATAACCTCTGCCCTCACTCAGGGTGTTCTTTGTATCTGATTGATGCTAACTCATTTCACACTTCATGTAAGCTCAGCTAAGTCCAATTATAGCAAGAGAGAGAGTGAAGCTCGAGTAGGAGGCTTTTTAACCTTATGGCAGAGATAAATGTAACACATAGTTTAAATGCAATGATATTAAGAATAGAGGATTATATCGATCTATCTATATCTACTGTATCTATCTATCTATCTATCTATATCTATGTCTATATATACAAATACTATATTAATGTAACCAACTGAATACCCCTCCGCTGGCTCCTCCCTTTCAAGCATTAACGTGAGCCGTTGAGCCGCCGAGTCTAAAACCGTGGTTTTCCACGGTTTTAGACTCGGCGGCTAAAGGTGCCACAGTTTCACAAGCGTGTCGGAGGACTACGGTGGGCTTCAGGTAACGTGAAAATGTGAAAGGTCCTCTCGAGTCCCAGTGTTTAAGTTTGTCTGTTCTGGGCTACTGTAGAAACAGAAGAGCTATTGTAACTCAATGTGACCTTTCTGGTGAAATAAAAGTATAAAAACATGGCGGACTCCATGAAGAGTCCGATATTGACTGATACTGAGGCATTTAGGTGGCATAAGCACATTTAGGTGTACACGTGAATTGTCCCTTTCACATTGTAGTCAGAACAATGTGTCAATTGTTTTTACAGGGATACAGTTTTGGGGACTGGAATACAAAAATGCAGAGTTGCTATTAAATCCACTCATTAAAACATTTTCTTTTTTATGCACTTTGGCTTCCTGTTGCAAATGACTTGGAGTTCATCATGGACCCCCCCTGACTCCAGCTAGTAAAGTCTAAATTGTTAAATAGTCATGAATAACTTTGAAACTTTTAATTAAATATGGTTTTATTGAAATCTGCGGGGGGCATGCAACACACAAAGGCGCTCTCGGAATATTGGGACCAAGTACAAAAATGGGTTTGGGACTAGGTTTTAATATTTTTATTGTCTAAAATACATGAGTATGCAAAATGTGAAGCTCGAACCAGGATCTGCATTGTATGCAGAGCCTCAGTTTTAAAAATCAACACAGTAATGACAAATATTTAAACCTGCTGTGACTATAGTTGCTCTATTGTAAATAGCATACACATAGTTTACTCTCCACCCATTGTTTGTCAGTTCTAGATGAAAATATATGACAAAAGGTTGCGTTGATGTGTTTTCAGAACATCAATCATTTCTCCATTTAAGATAAATGATATATTTAAAAGGTTTTGGCACAGAATGCATCAGGTGGGTGTGATGTAAATGTCAGCTACACAAAGCCCTGCAGGTATATTACATCAATATGACACTGTTACCGAGACTGCCGTTATCCATATTTTGGTGGACCAGAAACAAATGAAAAGGTTGATAAAACTCCATAGAAGTTATATGCAATGCAAAAACAGTCTCCCACTAGAGCAATTAACGTTTAAATCTTTTCACTGCCTTTGTTCAATCAGCTTAGACAGTAAAGGCAGCAACGATTTAAAAGCTGTCATCCACATTGTGGAGTAATCAACGGCAGCAAACACTATTTGATCTCCTTAGCAATATTATTAATACATGTGCAACTATGTGCATGACACTGTATAATCTCCTTATTTTGTCCACTTTATTATCGCCATAATCTTCCTCCTCTATCTGTTTTCATCCGTGTGTTGCACTACATTTGTGTATGTTAGAAATTGCAATCCGTGGTGACCTGTACTCACCCCTTGCGTCTACTCCTCACAACGTGTCTTTGATAAACTTATTTCTATCTTAAATTGCAACTGTTTTTTTGTTGCTGTTGTTTTTGTGCTTTTGTCACAAATCTGGCTGGTGTATTGTAGATACACCCTACAGAAAACAAAACATATTACTGCTTTGCCTTTTGCTGAATTCAAGAGCTTCTGTGTATACAAACATCACAAGTACGGCGACAAACAACAACAGTGCGAACAACAAAGGCTTCACAAACGTGTTGTGAATATGAAGGGGTAGTATTTTTCACTGTGAGGGGGGAACATTGGAGATAACTTGTGTTTGTGTGAAACAAGAAGACCGTCTTGAGCCGGTCAATCAGATTACATTATTAATAAACCATCATGCCCTAATTATCAGATCCTTTATACAACTTGACAAGACTGAAGAATCTCGAGGAGGATTGTATGTTCATCTGACTGTGCGCATGTCATTCAGTCACTCTCTCTTCCTTTGCTATTGTTTTAAATAATTCTCTTTCCCATCCTCTCTCTCTCTCTCTCTCTCTCTCTCTCTCTCTCCTTCTCCTGTGATTGATAGCTGCTGCTGAGACTTGATCCACTCACGTCTCAGTCCCTCTCGCTCTGTAATTAAAGGAATTATATATCAAGAGTCCTGTGAAATATATATAAATGAAGTAGGGAAAGTGAGCTTTGCTTAATTGCAGAGAGAAGAGGATGGAAGTGATCACAGCCCAGTAGGACTCTTTTACACACAGCGTGACACTGAGGGAGGCGAAATGGAGCTTCTAAAGCAACCGGTGTGTGACACTCTGTTACATAAAAAAAAATTTCCATTGCGAAGGGGGCCGATATAGAAAAAAATAAGCCGTGTCCCTTCGCAAAAACAAGTTGACCCTGGTTCAATTGTTGATGCAATGTGACATCATCCGCCGTCACACTGAGTGGGCAAGCGCATGTTCCAGGCACATTTGTTTGTCTGGGAAACATGGTAATTCACGGCAGTCTAGAAGGCGGATAAATTGTGGTCGACAACAATCATGAACTTTTGAGAGTTGTAATATCCTTCCTCATAGTATTGTAAATCGCTGTGTAGTGTTTTTGGTATCTGATAAGCTTCCCAACTCATGAATCTATAAGTCAAACCAGCCTTTCTGGATTGTATTTCATTCTAACACCAGTACCTGAAGCAACACGCACCCATCCACGCAGCCCCCCTACATGATTTGAATGCAGTGCTGTGTTCAGCCTGATCTAAGAGAGAGCCTTGAAAGAAACTGGTGGAGTGTGGGGTTTGGGTGAGTACTGTCGTATCTGTAGCTGCAATTGCTATCACAAAAGTAATTCTTATGCATACTGTATATCGATATACAGATATCAATATTAGTGAGCAATGAGTATAGTATACCCCTTCTGTGCCTGTTGGAGCAGGACGACTTTAATATCACTATGACTGGAATATTGATGTGTGTATATATGCCAGTAAGTGTGTGTGTGTGTGTGTGTGTGTGTGTTATGTATTCTACACATTTTTTGTCCCATCAGACAAAAATGTGGTATGTAAAAGTTAGGGTTAACGTGAGGCTCAAGGGAATGAATGTAAGTGCACATGCTGTGGTCCAGTGAACCCCATGAAACACACACACACACGCACACCCCTTTCATCCTACCTGGGGTCTTTCTGAATAGAGTCGATGGAAGGTGAGCGCTGCAGGCTGCCTTCAGGCGGCAGGGCTGGTCCGGACTTGCTGTAGGGCGATTCCACCACTGAGGGGCAGTACTGCAGGGTGCGATAGGGGTCCGCCACATAGGGGTCTGAGCCATACACATCTCCGCCACCTCCGCTTGAGGTGTAGCCTGGTCCCACTGTGGCGTAGTTGTTGGTCCCGCCACGGCCGTAGTTCCCTGTCCCTGTGCCGTGACTTCCTGTGCGCTGCAAAGAGGTGGAGTCGACACCGGGGGAGGAGGGAGCTATGGTGGGAAAGTAGGGACAGAGGACATAACTTAGGACCTGGTCATGGACACGCTGGGAAAGGTCTGCAGGGCAGAGGAGGGGACAGAATGAGAAGCAGGGAGGACGGGAGAAAAGGACACAAGCAAAGGTGAGGGGAAAAAACACAGGAGATGAGAGAAAGGAGAGAGGAGAGGAGAGAAAAGAGAGAGGAGAGAAAAGAGAGAGGAGATGAGAGGAGAGGAGATGAGAGGAGAGGAGAGCAAAGAGAGAGGAGAGAAAAGAGAGAGGAGATGAGAGAAAAGAGAGAGGAGATGAGAGAAAAGAGAGAGGAGAGGAGAGAAAAGAGAGAGGAGATGAGAGAAAAGAGGGAGGAGAGGAGAGCAAAGAGAGAGGAGAGAAAAGAGAGAGGAGATGAGAGGAGAGGAGAGCAGAGGCAGGAAGGTGCAGAGATGAACAGGTTGTTGGGAAAAGACAAACGCGTCTCCATATGGATGGACGAATATTGGCCACATGCCCAGGAATAACAACAAGGACCAATGTTCAACAGAGGGGAGGATTGAAGAGAGAAAAAGAGAAAAGTAGACAAATTTGTGGAGGCAAAAGTTTTAGACAGTTTTAATGGCCGCTGAAATCAATGTGTTCGTCAAAAAACAGCTGAAAATATGAACTATAAACTTTTGATCAAATATGCTTACAAGCTATTATGTGGGTTTTTTTCTATATACTATTTTGGAAGCCATGCAATATTTCTTTCAACAATGCATACAAATCCTGAAGAAAAAGTTCAATAACATTTTTAAGAATAGATTGATTTAAACAAACAGAAATACTTGAGATCAACAAAGCAATGGTTCTCCTCCAACGTGAGGTACATTAGTCTCATAAAAACCCACTGAGGGCTCGTAAGCAATGTTGGTTTGTCACTCAAATGACTCATTAGCCTGCCATTCCCATGCAATGAAAATTGGTAACTTTGCTCGTAAGCCTATTTGCAGGTAGCTAGAGGACGATTGCAGAAACTTTTTCCTCACAGTGAGGCATCTGCCTGGTGAGCAATAAGGACAAAAAAATACATTAAAAAAACACCAAGCTATCTCTCTTTAGAGTGAGATTGAAATTGAATGGGGATTTGCTTGAGGGATGTAAGAAGCCTGCAGGGGCACAGTAGCTGTCACCTTCGCTCTCCGTCGCGTCAGAGCGGTGGATCGGTGATATATCAAGGTGTTAATGTGAGTCTGGGGGCCTTGTTTCTCCGGCTGTAAAAACACTGAGACAGACGGCGTCATCTGTCATTAAAACCAAGGTATGTGTACACAGAAAACACACATCTACACACATGCAAAAACACCATCAATGTGTTCTTCGGAGAGTATGCGATAAATCACAGAGCCTTGAAATCAATATGTGTTTGACTGGGGCTTTAGCACAGGCCAACGAGCCTCCTCTCACAAAGCGAGTTAGCCTTTAAAACCGTGTCTGGATGGGCAAGTGCACACAAACGGTACTCAACGTGGAAAAACACACATTCGCACATTATACAAGTCACCGCACGCATCGATACAAAAACAACAAAAGGATGGAGGTTGTGTGAATGTGAGGTTTACTGTCTCATTGTTGTGTGACGACCAAAGTTGCTCTTTAGCAGTGTCTTGAGTGGTGGTATTTACTTGACTTTCACAACCCTCTTACACACGTCTGATCTGTCCAACCGATTTGGTGCATCTTTAACAATCATCTTTCAAAGCTCTTATTTAAATTCTTCTCACCGAGTCTGGTAAACTCCATTAGTCGGCCCACCAGAGGCACAAGGAACCTTTTGGATGATGTAACTGCATTTGCATATTTTTATTTCCTAACTCTAAAATCAGGTTAAAAAGAAAAAAATTCTTTGCCAGCCAGACATTGAAAAATGAAACTTCCAGACTCTGCCCTGAAATAGCCATGAGGCTAAAGGCTGTGTGAGCTCTTCTACTGATGCCCCAGAGATCTAAAGAATTAGGCAGGGACAGAGAAACGGTAAGAGATGCTGGGACAAGAGAGGAAAACTGCTGAGAGATGAGGGATGAAGCTGCAGCCAAACCAGAGGGAAGAGGGATGGAACAAGAGGCCGCGGAGTTAGCGACATACAGCCACGTAGAACAAAGGGTATAGGAGGGTAATAAAGCAGAGTTACTCCAATCAGCAGAAAATCCCAGTCTTTTCTGTACTCTTTGAATGGTGTCTGTGGGGTGTCTGTCCTTCAGAACGTCTCATTAGTAGCCGGGGCTTTAGGCTACTCCACCAGAGTCAGTGTGCGCTCACCGAGACACTTGACACCCAAATAGGATGAACCTCAGAGCCAAAGAGGGGGGAGGCAGAACAGTGAAAAGAAGAGAGAGGGAAAACATATAAAAATGGCTTGTCAAATTATTTTTATAGCCTGTGCTGTAGGCACTGAATAGGGATCTCTTCGGGTACAAGCTCAAAAAATAAAGGGGAATGAAAAATAAATCACAAATGATAGAGAGAGATGGTAGGGAACACGAAAACAGAGAAATCCCCCCAAAAATTGTCCTGTTGAAGTCTGTTCTTTTGTTTTCATATTCTCAAACTTTGTATTCAGCTTCCACACACCTCTATATGCATTCCATTTTCTTCTTCACTCAATCTTTGTGTCTGCTCTCCCTTTCTTCTCCTTCTACCTCAAGTAAATGGAGTGCTGCTGAATTTATCATTCGCTCTGTTGATGGTGTGATCTGACTGATGACTTGACCTTTGGGGCCAATATTGCCAGGCAGAAGTCAGCGTGTGGGTGCCTGTTTATGCATGCATGTGTGTAATGGTGTATGTATTCCCTGTGTGTGTGTGTGTGTGTGTGTGTGTGTGTGTGTGTGTGTGTGTGT